CTTGCAGATGAAAGTAACAATGAAGATAAAAAAATAATAATAATAAAAATAAATTATATAACATTTATGAAACAATTATTGTTAACCAGCCATAAAATTAGCAAGACTAAATGGTCGGTATTCCAATAAAAATGAATCCACCAAATTAACATCAATTTACCCAACTCGTTAAGGCAATACTTTTCATGAAAAATTAATTATAAAGTCTAAACAAGAAACACATCCACACATACTTAATAATTATTTTAGCAGAAAAAATCAATTTTCCATAGAGAGATGAGCAAGAATGTATAATGAGTAGAAAGATGAAAACTAGCAAGGACAGTCGAGAAACTTGAAAAAATACACCTATCTAAACACAAAGTCCATTAAAGAAAAAATTGAAGAGAGAGAGAAACTGACCAAAGCCCGAAAACTTCTATGCAAAACAAAGAAATAGAATTCCAACAAACTCACTCACTTTGCTTCTGTTGGAAAGGAAAATATGATTTTTCTATACAACTTGGAACAAAACCTAAATCAATTCCATAAAAAAATTACGAAGAAAACACTATTAACCATCTACAGTCCATTTCATGTTACGTAAAAGGAAAATTGGGAGCAGCTAAGTTTTTTTTCAAGAAGAAAGGGGAGTGGAAAGAGATATTTAAATTGATATACTTCTTCAATCACCTTCTTATCAAGAGTATTTCAAAGCTTTTAATTCTGCATTATGTAATATGGAGATTCAAAAAATCAAAGAATGACAGAAAAACAAATGTTTAATGTTCACAAACATCTAAATTGTACCTCATAAGGTCTGAAGAAGAAGTCGAACCAAACACATAGGAATTTACTTCTTGTGTTCCAAAGTGGTTTTTTATTTTTATTTTTTAGGACACGAATGAGAGATTTTAGAGTTCCACAAACAATATCAAACGAGGTATGTGCACAATAAGAAAAAGATAGGAAGCTTGTGGTAGTGGGGATGGTGAAGTTGCGCGTGTAAATGGAGAAATAGAGATGGTTATGTGAAGTTGAACAGGCATGGTCGGGTAGAAAAATGGATGCGAGTAAAATAAAAATAAAAATGGCACATAGTAGAATGGGAGTACTTTACTGTTCAATCTACAGCGTGACTTGTTGTCCTTTTTAATAGAAGTTAGACAAAGAATCAATTAGCTAGCTCAAGTTTTGACAAAAGGAAATGACCACCTCATGTTTGATGTTCCACATAATTATTGACGACTACTCCTCAACTCGAGGGAGAGTATTGGAATTTACTAAAATAGTTGTTGAAAATATATCTCTACTAACAAGATATTCCAAATATTCTAACAATTATTTCTATATTACTTAATGTACATACATACTTTTTGTTTACGATAATTCTTATGCTCAATTTAGTGAATTGTCCCCAGCCCCCCAACCCCCCTAATTCCGCTTTTTGATGGGTAGTGATAGTACGTAGGACGGAGGTGGATGAAATTGCTTGATATATTTGAGTTGAAGAAAGGGAAAACTCAACAATAAAATTTATTATCATGATAAAGTTATTATACGTGTCAGTTAGCTACATACGCTCCAAAAGTGTTCATTCACTTCATGACGGGTGAGGTGAGGTGAGGTGGAGATCTGTTGTTTAAATCTTGCTGACCACTTAACTATTCCATTTAAATCATAATGAAAGTGTAACACTTTAAAATTATATCAATATGTCAAATTTTGATGGTTGAGAAGCAAATTTGGACTTGAAGGATGAGGACTATAGGGTATACGTACATTGTTCTCTTTTCTTCTATTTCTTTTTTAAGTTTATCGACGTCTTTCAAATAATATGTCATGCCATTAATAATTTTTTGTTCCTTCTTTTTTTCTGCATAAAATATGCCGACGGAAATGAAGATAAACATTATAAGTTTTAGATACAAATGATACAAAAAATTAGTAGGCAATAACATGGTTTGGGAATTAAAATAGCTTAGGATTCCAGAATGAAATTTAGTTGGATTATCTACCTTAATAAATTGTGTAGTTGAGCCACGTTGAAAACAAGATATAGTTGATTGACTAATTGAGTTAATCGTATTTGTACATATCCCTATTGTCCGTTCCAAGTTTTTATTTTTTTCTTTGTAGGTAGATATGCACCACAATATGTATATCATTAATTATGCTAATATGTAGTGTCGGCTTAAATTAAGTGGAGGGTCTAAGGCATAATTATTAAAGAGTCCTTTTCAAAACAATAATAAAAGTATTAATGGAGCAAATGGTTACTTAAGGAAATTCAATTGTTGATCAGCAATAATATGATAATTGGTGATTCTGATTGAATTCAATATTTGTTAATTATTTAAATGAAATTATTGACAATGATTTAATTGATGATCATAATTCATAAGTCATTTTTGTCATCTAATTAATTACCTGCAATAATGTAATAAATGATATTCTCAAGAACCACGGATGGTATGGTTGATTGTAATTTTGATTAAAATCAATATATATTGATTAAGATGGAATTATGGACTATAATACAATTTAGCGATCACTGACTCACCTTCGTTAATGATTTCACCGAAAATCACCCCTGACGTTTGATCAATTATTGACGGAGTCAAATATATATTTTTTAAATTGAGAGCGTTTGATAAATCAAACACCTTAAAAGATCGCCTAACCAGCTTGATGCTTTATTCGGCTTCTACATGTCTATCTATTCATATTTTGACACAAAATAATTAAAAAAAAAACAATTATTCATTCTCCCAAGTTAGAAGTCTCAAAATGAATAGGTTTCAGTTGGACCAGCCAATCTACATTAATATGTAACACTGTTCTTTGAACGCGTTCTAATAAAGAAAATGATCACATGTTAGCTCAAATTAAGTGCCTGTAATTTCTCGACAAGTTAAGTCCTTTTAAACTTGAATTATTTCAAAATTACTTTATCTCTCACATTCGTTTTCAAGTACACATTTTTTAAAAAGGAAAAAGACAGAAGCAAAGAAGGACATAAACTACATCAGATAAACGCGCCGCATATGGGGCTAGCAGCATGATTTCTATAATTTTTTCCTCTTTTTAACTGCACATTAATTAATTTTTTTTTCAAATAATCACTTTTGAAAAATCTTTATTGTAATAGTGTTAAGTGAAAATTTAATAACTTGAGAAAAAAGTAGCATTTATTATTAGGTTGATAGTAGTTGACACTAGTTACGGAAAAAAAATTTAGACTTTTATTTTTATATTATTATTTAATTTAATTTGAGTTCGGACTTCATCATTCATGAGCAAATACATAAAGGGAAAATATATATATATATATATATCATCAAAATCGACGAAATTACTTAGGGTGCGTTTGATTTGCTTTTCTATTTTCTATTTTCAGTCTTGAATTCATTTTCTGTTTTCTCTTTTGATGGATTATTTTAAAATTGTAAAAAATGTGTTTGGCTTGTAATTATGAAAAATCGCTTTTCACAACAAAAAACTAGAAAATGAGTTTGGTTTAACAATTTTAGAAATAATTTTATATCATGTTTTTTCAAGTAATTTGATTATTCAGTAAAACATATCTATTTTTATACTAACATGTGATTAAAAAATATAAACTTAAAGTTGATAAAAAAAAAAAAAAGAAAAAAAAAGAAGAAGAAGGAATCATTGCAAGTATATCTCCAATTCATATACAAGAAATCATTGTCACTCGTGTCATTTATGCGCTTACATAATATATCATTCTTGGAGAATCTTGGGACGAAAGAGAGAGATGAGTATTTCTATTTGAGTAGGTTTTGTGTGATTTTATCAATTAGTATAATTTGAAAACTAAAAATGACACCTATATATCTCACCAGTGTCTACTCTCTTAAATTCATCGTCAATATCACCGATTTCCAAACCTTCTGTAGCCTGAATCTCTTGCATTTGTATTTTCAATTTTGCAGTGTTTTAATAACCTGCATTTATATTTCTGTTTCTCTCCAGTCCATATCCTTTGAAATCTGAGTGGCACAACCCAACCAGATTTTGAAGTCGTATGCTGCGCTGCTCAGTTTGACCAAACAAATTATGGACCGGTCATTTATAGTCTCAAGTCGACGAAAGTGAAACGCAATCAATTTTATGAATACTTTTGACATCTTCCGCAAGAACCCACGTCGGGGATCTTCCACAACCAACAGAGCAACTTTCGAGCGAACCCATTATGAGACTACTTGACATGGTTACGAATCGTTCGTGTGACGTCCAAGGGTTTTCCACGCCTTAGTAGGCTCTTGGGCTAACCTTTCGCTCTAGCAAGCTCGACACGAGCAAATACTCTATGTATTACCTTGAATAGGATACATCAAAAATACTTGCATATAATCCCATCATTAGCACGCTTTTAGTAATAATGTAATATGGGCCACACGGGGTGTATGCGACCCCGACAAGAGCTCCATAATTATTTCTTGTATTGATTAAGCTATTACGTTTCATTAACAAACTAGTGGACTACATTTTAACTCCCTCTAACTCCAGTTAGACTTTCTTGACCTTTTACCTTTGTGTCAATATTAAGCTTATATTTGATACAGATACTTTAAAACTCATTTTCATCAACTCAATTTAAACTATACATTTTTTCAATAAAATAAGTTTGCATGTGACAACACATTCTTCAAAAATATTTGCATGTGACGACACATTCTTCAAAAAATATAACTTTTTTTTTCATAAAATTTTTTTTCAAAAATTTAAGCCCCTATTTGATGGTAATTATTTGAGAAAAACAATGTTTTGAATAATATTTTTAGGAGAATGTTTGGTTAAAAATTAGAAAAAAACTTTAGTTTTAAGTACAGAATATTTTATTATATAATGTATGATTGATAATGAGTACATTGTCGAACATAATATATAGACGAATTTCCCTGCTTTTATAGAAGTGGTGCTGTTAGAAGTAATACAGATGTTGTTGTGACAATTATTTGGTCTGTCCTTTTTTTTTTTTCCTCATTATCCAACAGAAAACTCTCTATTAATTCTGATAGCATAATTTTTTTGTACAAATAGCAGATTTGTGTATAGAGAGAACATGTCACATGTCGATTCCATAACAACCACGCTATTTGGTCATAGAGAGAGAGAGAGAGAGAGAGAGATGGAAGGGATTAAGCACAAGATGGTGAATGTGAATGGCATAAACATGCACCTAGCTGAAAAAGGTGAAGGCCCAGTAGTACTATTCCTCCACGGATTCCCCGAGCTTTGGTATACATGGCGCCACCAAATCCTGGCCTTCGCCGCCTCAGGTTACCGAGCCGTTGCACCGGACCTCCGTGGATTTGGCGACACCGATGCTCCTCCTTCCATCACCAGCTACACCTGCCTTCACGTGGTGGGTGATATGGTGGCTCTCATAGGGTCCCTCGGCGTTGATCAAGTGTTCTTGGTGGCGCACGACTGGGGCGCCATGGTTGGCTGGTATTTGTGCATGTTTCGACCCGATTTGATCAAGGCTTTCGTGTCTTTAACTTTGCCTTTCCGGCCAAGGCATCCCAAGTTGAAGCCTATTGAGGGCATGCTAGCTTTCTTTGGTGATGACTATTATATGTGCAGATTCCAGGTTTCTATTCCATTGACCTCACTATATTCAACAATTTTTGGCGTGCCCGGGTAAAAAAAGTTACTTATTTTAAATCTTAGAATAAACAACTTACTTATCAAGTCAAACATGGTCATTGACTGCTGGTCAGTTTGAATCAGGATTCTACAGCTAGCAATATCGCCCATGTGTTTTTCTTAAAATTTTGGATCTGCAACATAAATGAATGTCCATGGACGCTAACAGTCCAACCTCTTTTCATTAGAGTAACACTATTTAATTCAACCAGAGTCATCATGTTCTATGAAAGTTACTTAAAATTAAATTTACCTGATCAATTCAAATTGCAAAAAGGAGTACTAATTCTCTAATTCTTGAACTTTTTTAATTAAATTTCTTGTGTACGTTGTAAATTTGCAGGAGCCTGGAAAGATGGAATCAGAAATTGCAGAATATGGAGCTGCAGCAGTGATCAAGAAAATTCTTACTGATCGTAAACCGGGTCCTCCCATCTTACCCAAACAAAACCCGTTTGGAAATCTCCGTGATATCGATGATATCAAACTACCCGCGTGGTTTTCGGATGAAGACCTCAAATACTATGCTAGTAAATATAACCACAATGGATTCACTGGAGGATTGAACTATTACCGCGCACTTGATCTGTATGCTCTAATTTCATTAACACATATGAAATATACTGATATCATGTTTGGTACTGTGGATGAATCGTAGCTCTCAAATAATTGTTCACTACATAACATTTAAGCTTGCCTAGTACTACCTACCAAACATGCAGAAATCAAAATATGTTACCTGTTTGAGCTCCATTATCTAAAAACGCATTTGCAACTATACATTCTACAAAAATATCACCACCCAAAAAAGTTATTTTTCTTTAAAAATGGGGCTCTAGTATGCTCAAGTTTTTTCTTTAGCAGAACTGAAGTCAGTATTTTTTTTTTACTGATGCAGAAACTGGGAACTAACTGCAGCTTGGACAGGAGTACAGATAAAAATTCCAGTTAAATTCATTGTGGGGGGTCTGGATATGATGTACACTACTCCAGGGATGAAGGAATATGTACATGGAGATGGGTTCAAAAATGATGTGCCATTATTGAAGGAATGCGTCGTGATACAAGGAGCCGGTCACTTCATCAACCAAGAGAGAGCTGAGGAAGTCAACGCTCGCATCCATGAATTCATTAAGGAATTCTCGACTTTTTGATCATTTTGTAACGAATAATGTTTGTTAGTGTGCGACCAGAATTTTGGGACATTTAATTTATGGTTTGTACTAAAATCTATGAATAAATAGTGCTTGATGATTTAGAATCATGAATGTTTATGCTGTTGAATAATTTCTTGCGACTCGTCTCACGGTTGATAGATCACTTAATTAGGGAAAAATGGTTAAGAAAAAAATAACGAAAATTGCATGCATAGATCAAATTAGGAACATATGTTGATTGTTGTTGCACATTAATTCCATTAAAAATTCAATTTTTGTTGATACTGTCCAAATTAGATCACTTGTCAATAATACGAGAATGAAGTCCCAATCAAGTAGGGTATATCCAAGACAGTATTTCTATAACTACAAAGAGTCAATTAGCTAGCTCAAGTTTTGACAAAAGAAAATGACAAAATCATGTTTGATGTTCCACATAATTATTGACGACGACTACTCAACTCGAGGCAAGAGTATTGGAATTTACTACAATAGTTGTTGAAAATATATCTCTACTGACAAGGTATTCCAAATATTCTAACAATTATTTCTATATCCTAAATTAATTAATGTACATACATACTTTTTGCATGTGCAATGCACAGGCGGAGTTATTTTGAAGGTAAAGTTAGTGTTGAAAGAGGTAAGTAAAATGAACTTAATTTGACGTGGTCAATTCGCATATGATTTTACTCTTCGAAATATAGATATGAAGCATTTAAAGTGCGCGAAGAAATGAAGAGAAGATATAATGGAATCGAAATGGAGAACTTACCTGGTTGCGTCTTATATACACTACTGCTTCAAAAGTGTTAGGTCTTTGTGCTATTCCACTGGACATTATTGTAAACCATAGTAAGGTCCGAAGGAGCAATCAAAGGGTAATAATAGAAATACCTAGAGAGAGTTTCAATTTTGAGAATCGACTCTTGATAACAGTGGCATATGAAATGTGAAGATCTATCCTATATGATAATAGCAATCCAACATGAGTAAACTTGGAAAATGGTTCGAAGAAAAATATGAGAAGTGTTGACCTCAGGAATTGGACCTTCTACGTGGCCAACAGATAGCTACTCCACGTAATCTTCTTTGCGCACAACAACGTATGGTCGGAAGCACACGGTCGGAACCAACAGTGGTGGTGACGGTCGCATACACTCCGACGGTTAAGTCAGTGTTGGGTGATCGGAACAGTGCTCAAGTTGTACAAGAGAGTGGGGAGGATAATATATACTTCTTGGTATTGAGAGCTAAGTTATAAGAGTTCATTACCTTTGTCCCCTACTAAACCTTGGGTATTTATAGATGTAGAGCGCCATTGGATGTAGGACATGTGTATGCATCTGACGGTGCAAGGCGTCTGTTCATAGGCGTTAATCAGCCGCGTCTAGTGTGGACGGGCAATTAGTTCTTCTGAGTTGAGTTGACATAAAGTCGATATGTCATATCAACTAGACCCATGGAAATGTCACATCAAGATCCTGGTAGATATCTTTCTGACAGTAGCGGCGGAGGGATCTATTAAGGGAGTGCCTCAGATCCTTAAACGCTTCGGCGTGAGGGGCACTTCGATTGCTTCATTGGATCTACTCTTCACCTTGCAGTGCGCCATGTAACGCCCCGACCCGCATGGACGGAAACGTCACTCAACCATTGTACCTTAACCGTAAGGTTAGTTCAATATATTTTTAGTAGAAAATATAAAGATTAAATTTTAGAATTTAATTAAAGAATTTTTTTTATTTAAACAATAATCTAATTCTAGAAGAAAAAAATTTTAAAAAGTAATGTTGCTGTTCCAATTTTTGTCTCAAATAGTAATTGTCAAAATAAATTTGTTTTCATAGCTATCGATTTTGAAACTTCATCAAATTTTAATGTAAGGTAATAAACTCCTTATAATATGACATAATCAAAAACTAGCTTCCGCCGACATCATATGGGGTATTAAAATATTTTTCAAAACTCAGCAGCGACCAGGTTGAAAGGTAAATCGGTGTAGTTCACTTAAAATGGCATATAAAATTCCACCGACGTTAAAACCACACGATTTCAAATTTATTCAGTAGCTAATTCATGAGAATATGAAATCCAATTGGTTTCATCCAAAAATTTCAAGTAACGAGTGAGTTATGAATTTTTGAAAATAAGGGTAGAAGCTGAAAAATAAAGACAGCACCCAACATAGATTACTTTATATGACATATAACCTTTTACCGATATTGGATTGACATGATTCCAATTTTATTCAGTATCTAACTTATTAGGCTATCCAATCCAATTGGTCTCGTATAAAAATACCAAGTAACAAAATAGTTATGATTTTTTTTAAAGATGAGGCAGAAACTGAAATTTCTGTAGAGACATCAAAACATTAAGTCGCTAACTTTTTTTTTTTTTGTATATGGTGATTTGTAAATTTATTCCTATGACGTATATCTACTTTCAAACATAATTTATTCATAACGAGTGTTCGTAAAATAGATCCACACAATATTCATAGGAATCAAATTTAAAGAAAGTGTAAACATCTCAAAATCAACTAAAGATGTAAATCACCGACTTCTCCATGACATGTTGCATCATCCTTTACCATCATCTACGCCCCAAGGAAAATCCATTCAACCCGTAGAAAGGGAATTAACCCATGAGTCTGAAACCCAATAGATATCATCGATGCAATTCGTTATCAAATTAGAAATTCCGAACTATAGATTCATACCGTCGCACGTAGATGGATTTCCGGCAAAACCCAATTACTATAGCATTATCATAACACGTAGAGCTGGAGAATGATCATTGAAACTGTTGTAGTACCGAAGCACCGTACCCGAAGGTACCATTTCATTTAAACATTTATCGAAAAATCAGATTTGAAAACGAATGAACACTTGCACCTCTACCTACCTTGAATTTTCTTGAATAAAAGAACAAAATATATAGAAAGCCTTCCTTCTTCTCACCCTTGTTATACCTTAAGCTTAACTTGATATGAAATATATTTTTTTTGAGAGAAAATGAGATGAAATTGGGATTTGAAGAGGAGTGTAGTGAAAAAGTGACCTTCCACTTCTATAACCTTTCTTTTTAGTGAAAAATTAAGTGGAGGAGTTGTATTATCATTAAATTTATTAAATTTAGTCTTTAACTAAGAATTTGAAGAGCCTCTAAGTCATAAAAATAATGCATATGAAAGTTTTATAAAAAAATCTACATGGTGATTCGAACCTGGATTGCCTATATGAAATACCATGTAGATGACCATTGGGGCAACCCAATTATTCATTAAATTTTTGTAATCAATTTTACTTAAACTTAATCTCTTAAATTGCTGAGCTTTTAATTAACTTATGACTTGGGCTTTCGTAATCTTACATGGGTTGAACTTCCATAGGTCGTTTTTAAAATAGGTTAGGCTCGTGGTGCTAGATCATCACAAAGTATTAGCATAATTCCATTTTATTTTTCTCGGCTACTACAACCCTTATACCTTAAATAAAATTTCGTCCTCGAAATTTACCTTATGGTTGGACAAAGAGTGT